CGCATGTGTTCTGGACTGGTAATAAGCATTAGTACAGAAAATCTGTGTTCTGAAGGATTCATTTCCGAGTGGAAAAAAAGATGAATTTTACTTAGTTTGTATGTGCGGAGCTAGCCCAATATTTATAATCAAATTATTCATCTGATTTTCGGCCGCATGCTATTAATTATTATATTTTCATAGATTGACATTTGTGTGTTGATTGTAAATAATATTACCCCGCTACTTCAAATGTAAAATAAATCTTACTTGTTCAATTCAATAAGCAGTAGGAACTACAATCGACAAAACGAAGGCCAGTTCCTTATTTAAAAATGTATCCAGGTGAAATAGTTTGCTGCTGAAATTTTGAAGAAAACATTACCTTTGAAGCACCGACTGTTATGAAAACGTACTAAGCAAGATGACAAAGCCAGAGTCCCTATTGGATGACAGCAGCTATGAAGCAGGCTCCACTTTTAATCCATGTTGAATACTGCGTTACTTTGCCAGATCACGATTGGGTTGTAGCAGCTAGACACAAACTCATTCCGTCTGTTCATTCTGGGATTGAAATACAATAAGATTTTCTGGGTAAACCTGAATCTGTAATCTATTCAGGCCCAACGAACATAGCCATTAGGTCCAACGTACATAGCCATCAGGCCCAACGTACATAGCCATCAGACCCAACGTACACGGCCATCAGGCCCAACGTACATAGCCATCAGGCCCAACGCACACAGCCACCAGGCCCAACGTACATAATCATCTGGCCCAACGTACACAGCCATCAGGCCTAACGTACATAGTCATCAGGCCCAACATACACAGCCATCAGGCTCAACGCACACATAAATCAGACTCAATGTACACAGCCATCAGGCTCAACGTTCATAGCCATCAGGCCCAACGTACATAGCCATCAAGCCCAACGTACACATAAATCAAACCCAATGTACACAGCCATCAGGCCCAACGTACATAGCCATTAGGCCCAACGTACACTGCCATCAGGCCCAACGTACATAGTCATCAGGCCCAACGTACACGTAAATCAGACTCAATGTACACAGCCATCAGGCCCAACGTACATAGCCATCAGACCCAACGTACACATAAATCAGACCCAATGTACACAGCCATCAGGCCCAACATACATAGCCATCAGGACTAACGTACATAGCCATCAGGTCCAACTTACATAGCCATTAGGCCCAACGTACACAGCAATCTAGCCCAACGTACACGTAAATCAGACCCAACGTACACAACCATCAGGCCCAACGTACACATTAATCAGTCTTAACGTACATAGCAATCAGTTCAGGCAAGCATTGCTCATCGAGAACTTATGCTCATGGACTGGGCTATGAAAAGCTGCTTGAATTGGAAGAATTCGACATTATCATAAAGGATCAAAGCAACAAGTTGGTCAAACCTGTTCTTATTATATCTGTGGATGGTGGACAAAGATGATGATCTGAGGTATCAAAAAGTTATTGATGTTGCAATTCCTGATTTTGTGAAGCAGAAAGTCAATGCGTTGTTCGTTGCAATTTATGCGCCTGGTAGGAGTGCATTCAAAAGGCGAATGGCTTCTTTGATCCGAGAACTGTCAAGCCTAATTTTGCCAAATGAGCATTTTGGAAGCCACCTTGATTTGCAAGGTCGAACAGTTAATGAAGAATTGGAAAAATCAAATTTCAAATATGTTGGCGAAACATTGTCGGAAGTATGGACGCAAGTAACTATAGAAAGTTTTCTAACTGTGCCAAAGTATATTGTGCCTGAAGTGTCTGAGCTTGAGGCAGAATATTTACGAACTAAGGATCAAGATTGGTGCAAAAACCATGTAAGAACAAATCAATACTTTTTACAAATTGTAAAATGCCATGATGTAAATTGTTGCCCACCGATTCGAAGCTAGTACTTTGAGATTATCGCCGATAGATTCATTCCACCACCACCAATTCCAGTCAGCCAAACTAGTGAAGGCTTTAAAGCACTAGATGCATCTGAGAGCGACTTGAATAGATTTCGATATTTTTTCTTCATTCTGTCTTTGAAAGTTGATAACTCAATTTATGTTGAAAAAGGATGTTCAACACCATCGTCAACGCGACCTTGGGCCTTGGCAATTACCACATGCTTCTCAACCGCAAAGAATTTGGAAAATGCGAGCGGTTGCCAAAAGACAGAAACATTTGATGGCAGAGATGTTAAGCGTAGAATGGTTAGATGAAGATGATGGTGACTTGTCGAGTGTATCAATTCCACAAGAAATTAATGAATCAGCCACAATGCCCATTAGAACAATCAAGGAACATTGGGCTTCCCAATGGGAAGTTGATAGAAGCTAGAATATAAGTCTTGATTTTTATGAATTCAGAGTGTTATAGTCGATTTGAAATCTGTTAAACAAATAAAAAGTGTATTAAAATTTGTTTGTAGACCTTTTTTTCCCATGATTCTATTTTTATCAAAAAGTCAGTTTTATAAAATATTGTTATTTGGGGGGGGTAATTATTTTTTTGGACATAATTCTTCTGAAAGTTTGACAGTTGTTGACAAGTAGTTGGGGAGGAGGTAAAAAATTCCAAAAACTTTATGACATAAAAAATGGACGTCCCGTCAAAAGTATAATGTGATTGTAATTACCCACCTTTCTTGCTATAGTAGCTATGCCAAGTATCTGGGTTATGTACTATGTAAGGCGATGCAGGTGAAACACATTATTCAAATTAATTTTCTGCATGTTCATTCTTAGAATATGTCTTCTAATTTGTATCCAGTTTTAAGCGTGACAGAATATAACAATCTAACAAATGAATTATTTTCATCAATTAGAAATACAGTTGAAAATGTTTCATATAGTATTTCATTTGCGTCCAGATATATTATTGCTACTTGTCATCTGATATAAAATTTTGTGTGTTCCTATAATTTCTGTATGTTGAGCAACAATATTGAAAACCTTGCACAGATGCATTCAACAAATAACGTACTTACGAATACCCAGCATGAACTATCTCTAATCCGGAGAATCAGCCTTTCTTCTCAGGATCGACTTTCATGCCTATTTACGTACATCATGTGATATACTTAGCCGATTTACCGTATTCTACCTAAGGCAAACGCTCGATCATATATATATATATATATATATATATATATATATATATATATATATATATATATATATATATATATATATATATATATATATATACACACATATATATATATATATATATATATATGTATATATATATATATATATATATATATATATATATATATATATATATATATATATGTGTGTGTATATATATATATATAGATATATATATATATATATATATATATATATATATATGATCAATACATACATTTATTGATCATATATATATATATATATATATATATATATATATATATATATATATATATATATATATATATATATATATATATATATATATATATATATATATATATATATATATATATATATATATGCCATACTGTGAACTCCTTGGCGGCTAACACAAATAGCTAAACCCGACCCAATAGAAATATTCTCATCCAAAACTAGCACTGATTGACAGACTGAGACTGGGGCTCTAGCTATGTTAAACTAGACACGTTATCACGGGTGAAGACAAAATACAAGAAAACGAACTGCAACTGGAGACACGACACTAATATTTATTTGCATTTCAAATTCATTGTTAGGTGGTTATTCATGTAAAGCAGCGTCGGGGTTATTCGTACTTGTGACACATGAGAAGCGACAATGTCTGTAACAGTTATCAGATGTTCCATTTATACTCGGTAGAATTTGAAATGATTTTATACTGTCTGCCTGTCAGATCGGATCTTCTAGAGTAAAAAAGAACATGTAACATTGATAACAATGATCGCTTTTAGCATTTCTCTTAAGAAATTAAGAGCATAAACGACAGTGATAAATTTTAAAGATCAACAGTTATTTGCGTCCGTTCATTATTAGGGTGCAAGGGACAGTTTATGCACAAATGTAATGCTGCATACACCTGCCTAATATAAACTTTTAAAAAATAGTAAAATACATGAGTGAGGTCAAAAATGTCCTTCTTTGGATTGATATAATAAAACAAAACATAGGTATATCATTCATTTGACCAGACAAGTCCGTGGAAATTAATAGAATAGAAAGTTGATGCACCCACCCCCCCAACTTTTACATGCATTTTTCAAACCCGAAGGTCATTTTTTGAGATCACATGATGCCCACAGTGCAAATACAATTCCTTTCCCTGTGTGATAATTTTGAAAAACATTGTGAACTTAATAGCTTCATGCAATTCAAAATAGTTGTCATCCAGGCAGTGTTTGAGATATTCTACTTGCCTTGAACCAACGTGTCTACTGTTGTAAGTGGGTAGCTTTGCTTCCTGTCCGACTATTCACTTGTTACAAACTGTACTACATGATTCATGATTGGAAATGCGTCGTTAATCTATAGGTCTAGAATTAAGTTATTTTTTTTGAAAAAAAAATAGCTTCATGCATCCCCAACAAGTTGAAATAAATTGAAACAGAATAAATTTAAAGGTATAATTCCTGTAGAAACAGCCATGCAAAGTTTTGCAAACACAACGGTTTTTGTGTTTTATTTGTTTGTCTTGTCTACGCTTTGTATTTGCCTTTGAAAAAAGACTCATTAAGAATGAAAGTGACGGTTTTAATGACCTAACATCAGTATTAGGTCTGTATGTGTGTATGTGTGTCTGTGTGTGATTTAGATTTTTAACGTAGTTTTAACGATTTTTCAATCATATAACTACGACGTCTGCAAAGTGACAGGCTATAGTGATATCTAGCCCTGGGGCATTATGCCGCAGACATGTGACACGATGTCCCACCCAGTCACATCATTCTGACTCCAGGCCAACAAGTCCTAACACTAACCTCTTAATGCTTATCGCCAAGCGAGGCAGCTGTTAGTAACATTTTTTAAAAAAAAGTCTTTGGTATGACTCGCTTGGGGTTCGAACCCGCGACCTCTTGCATCCGAGGCTGACGCTCTAACCACTAGACCACCGGAGCTGTCCCAGAAATGTCTTGAGAAAGTTTATTTATTATTTCTTTTTTCATCTCTGAACACATAAAAGGCGTTATATTAAACCTCAATGGCATTTGACTGGGCTATTTTTGCAGTACAGTGGCACGCGCGCGATAGAACTCTACCGTAACTGTTTAAAAAGGGACGCACGTCAATGGAAGCTAATTGCATCATATTTTAGGCAAGTGAAGTCTGATGATATACACGATTATTTGGAGGGAAATTTTATGAATAGTTATTTCCGACTGGTCGGGAAAATTAAGGGCGTACACTTTGGGAAACGATTTAGGGCCACCACTTGCCAAAATTCTTTAGTCAAATTTTTCGTGAGAGAAGGTTAAAGTCCGACTCCGGAGAAGCGTAGAGAGTAGTGTTTCTTCGTTATAATGGAACTCGTAGGAAAGGGCCAGACAGTTTTCTTAAAAGGAAGGACAGGCTATAGGCTAGGACACTTTGTTTGGCAAGGAACGGTATTAAGGTACGCAATTTTAGTTTCCAATTTAATATTCTATTTCGCTTGTTTCATTTGTTTGCAAATGAGTTATTATGCTTATGATTCACGCATGAATCGTGTATTCATTTCGTAGGACTCCACTAAGTTGTTCGTTTTATGCCATTTAATTCTTTGATTTTACAATTATTATTTCATTGAGAGAATTGAGGGATTGCATGTAGTTAAATATTCAGTGTGTAGAATATAATAAGGATTTATAAATTCATCCTATATACAAATAGGTCATATTATTAGGATATTTGAATTGATCCTCTGTGTAGGACCATATTTGCTCTTGAGAATTACTGACAAGTGTATATTTATGTATATGAGTTTGCAAAATTTAAATGATCATGCAGGTTACTTTAGGGTAGATATATTTAGGGGATATTATGCCATAAGTAATTGAGTATTTTTTTTATTGGAGTGCATTGATTAGCCAAATGTAAATAAGTCATGTAGTAATGTATGCTGGTATATACGGCCACATTTGTTTGTAGAGAGCTCGTGGGAATTTATGATCAATTCGCCGCGGAGTGAAATTAACTTCCAGCTAAGGTCATTCGTATTAAAGTAACGGCATCTTACCGAAATACAGAACCTGTATGGTCAGTTATTCGTTAATATCACATTATGTCAGAATTTGTCTGATACAAACACCCATATAGTATATAAATGTAGATGAGTAGTGGAATTTGTCTAGCGTTAGGCATACTATATATTTAAGGAGGCAGCTTCAAACTCAGAAAGAGAAAGAAAGAAGCAGAGATAAGTCAAGGAACCCGATGAGTCAAAGGGAAGACCACATCTGCGAGAGGTCGGAATAGTCAAGGGTCGAAGAGGACCAAAGCGCACATACTAGACGTGGAGACTCGATGAGAAGGAGACAGACCAAGAGATTTTGTCTAAGCGTGGGAATTGTACTCGAAACCTCCGTCACTGTAAATCAGTTGGTTAGTAAAGTGAAATTTAGATATGCATTAAATATTTGGAAAGTGAATTTTTGGTTCTGCATTATTTGAGTACATTCAATGTAGTAAATCTGTTGGAAGAAAGTGATTTTCTTTTGATTATATGTTAATTGATTAAAATTTGTGTTTTATTTATTGGAAGGGGGCTCGATGTTATTTATTTCTTTTAATAATTTGCTCAGCTATCTGTAACGTTCCATCTATCCGTCCCCACTGGGCAGTAACACTATGGGAGATCATTCTATAGCTAAACACGCCGGATTAATTAAGGAGGGTTTTAATGTAGATCTTTAAAGCCAACCGTTACACAACGATTTGTTTTGAATTCATAAGGGAATTTCCGATGTTTCCTATACATGCCTCACATAAATTTCAAGAACAGCACAACTGGGAAAGACCAAATTCACAATATATCCATATCTTTAATTATTACACAATAATAGCTAAAAAAAAGTCACACCATAACGTTACGTTAAGAAATATGAAATTGTCCCCTGCCACCTTAAAGTGTACAGTGTATTGTTGTTGCAGCGCGGTTAAGATCGTGTGTTGGCGTATATCACTTATCAAAAGTCTTATCAGTGGCGTCATTGGGGTGGGAGCGGGCGATGGGGGGCGTTTCGTACCGCACCGGATGACACCAAAATGAATGTCTATGAAATTTTTGAATTTCTCTGCAGGAAGGAGGTAGATGGGGTGACACCAAGAGTTACCGCACATGACTGTCTATAACTGTTTTTAATTTTTGTGCGAGAAGGGGGCCAATGGGGGTGACACCATGAATGACCCTAATCCTAGTGCCGCCACTCTATCTTCTCAGACTGCTATACTCCATTTTATTTTCACTGAAAGTAGGATGTCATATACTTTCACAAAATCTTTACAAATAATGGCGAAAAAGCTGCAATGAGTATGATAACTGAGATTTGATTTCAGACAGTAAAATCCTAAAGTATTGTGTTGTTCATGTCCTAATGTGTGCTTCTGATGTCTGTGAGGAGATGCACGAGTGACGATCTTACTGTATAAATTCGAACATCCGTGTGCGGGTCATAATACATGACATTCCATGATGATATATCAATAAATCGCTTTCTCAAACAGGTGTCTTATCATCTTCGCTGGACACGGGTTCGACATGTTATGCTCTCTTCATCATGACGGATCGATAATATATTTCAATACTTTGTACTATCTATATATATTGGATTTCGCCCGTTGCCTCTCTTAATACGTAATGTCAATTAACCAATAGCGTGTAACGTCGGTGGATCCTGTTTGAAAATGTTGGAGGCAACTGACTTTAAAAGGATACTTTAATGGCTTATATAATAAAAATAAATTATTTGCTCTACCTTTATAAAGGGAATTTTGCTAGTAACAATACTACATTGTTAATTCCCAAACATATGTAGTAACATTACTATATTTCCAGGCACTGATTTTGTGCTCTCCAAAACCTGATGTAGTAACAATACTACATAGCATTCCGCTGAACCCTTACAGTAACTCATTTGAGATCTCTGAAATAAGTTTCAGTAACAATTATAAATAGCTAACCCCTAAAACCCTTACAGTAACATTACCCTATGTCAAAGTATTGTATTTTTTTATCTTCAAAACCTGATACAGTAACAATACTACATTGTCCATCACCAAACTAATGTTCCAATAGTATCATTGATCTTTTTCAATATAACTGGTGATTTTATGACCTGCAAAACCTATTGTAGCAAACATGCTACATTGATTTTGAAACCCATATGGCAACAATACAATATTTTTAGGTGACAGTGTAAAACTGATTTTGTAATCATCACAACCATATGTAGTAACAATATTGCAAAGCTATCCTCCAAACATACAGGAATTTCTAGATGACAATGTAAAACAGTTTTTCTGTTTGCCAAAACCTGAAGTGGTAACAATAGTACATATCTATCCTCAAAACCCATGTAGTAATAGTATCCTATTTACAGTTGCCAGTGTAAAAGTTAATTTGTGATCACCAGAACAAGTTGTAGTAGCAATACTAAATTGCTGTTACCCAAACTCATGTAACAGCTTTACCTTATTTCCAACTGATAGTATACAACTACTTTTCTGACCACTAAAACCTGATGTAGCAGAGTTTTTCCCCAAAACCACTTAGTAATAGTATCCTACTTTCAGGTATTTGTGTAAAACTGCATTTTGATCGCCAAAACCTGATGTAGTAACAATATTGTATTACTAATCACCAAACCTATTTAATAAAATTACTTTGTTTCCCCAGAAACATGTATTACACTGACTTTGTTATCTCCAAACCCTCCCGTAATAACAATACTGCATTGGTAAACACCAAAATCATGTAGTAATATTTCACTATCATCATGTGAAGGTGTACCACTCATTTTATGATCTTCAAAAATGTAAAGGAGAATCAACACTACATAGTTAATCACAGAACCCATGTAATAATATTAACCTGTTTCCAAGGTAACAGTGTAAGCCTGAGTATTTATGCACCAGTTATCAGAGGGGTCACTTTTATTATTTTAGTCCAAAAAAATACACCCACCTGTGTTTTGCCATGTCAAGTAAAATCACAGCTATGCCACTCTCTGTAAATGTTATCAAAGGCCGTTAACTTTAATATTTTCACTTAAGATATTTTCCCTCTGTTGGAAGCTAGTATGAAGAGAAAATAAGGTTACCAAACCTCAATTTTGTCCTTTATGAAAACAGGCTTTTTTGTTATGCTTTACTTCGTTCCTGAAACACTCTATTTTGTTGCATGGACTATTAATGAAAGAATATTTTTAAAGTTGTATACTTATTAAAAAGTATGTAGACAGCGTGTGTGTGTGTGTGTGTTTGTGTGTGTGTGTGTGTGTGTGTGTGAAGCCATTGGTGGGTTAAAAATAAACCGTTTCTTGATGGTTTTTCAATAATTGCATAATGCATGCAAATACACGCGTAATAATATACACGCCTACCTAATTATATAATACTATGGGGGGGGGGGAGAAACCATACCATCATTGTGAGTTGGGATGGGGAGTGAGTGTCCACCCCAAGGGCTATTTAAGTCGAGAATATTCCCCCCCCCAGCTGGATATTAATCCACAAAGGCCACACTGTGCTGAAAACAACCCCCCTGCTAAGGCCTAAGTTAGGAAACGGGGGTGGGTGTGATGGAAATGACTAAAGGACCTGGGCATGTGCCCGTTATGCGTTCCCATAAAACGTTTCTTCATCTGATGTGGATTACTACCGAAAAATGTTGAAGTCGAGATTGGGCTGGTTATTCTTGTGAGCCTTCGGCGTGTCATATAATTGTTAAATGTTAAAATAGTGATTCATTAACTAAAAATATACTCAACACAGCTGGTCAAAACTAAGATGCAAACAAAACGGAACAGCAGTGGCAATACCAAACCTAAACAAATTGTTTGGGAGGAGACTATTAGACCATTACACCATATACAAAGTCGACAATGAGCAAATGCCAATGGCTTTAGTACATTATGTGAGTC